GCGTGACATCATCTGGAAGACGAACGACATCCGTGAGCGGATGTTTCTGCTACGCCTTCCGAGCCCCGGAACTCCGACAGTACTACCATCTTTTGCCAATTCGAACGACGGGGTATTACAAATCAGTCGGTCGCTTCCGCATAGGCTCCACGTAGAATCTGGTGCGGTGGAGGCCTCCGACATCCAGCTGACTGAGGGGATGGCTCCGCCGTGGTCTATTGTAAAGATGCATCCACTTCTCGAAGAGTTCCTCACTACCTGGACCCCCCGCTGGACAGGAGAGCGAAAGGAGAACCAGCTATGCGTGAGCTACCGGCTATTGAAGCGTCTCAGAGAGTCAGACTTGAAAACTCTTTCAGTGACATGGCGTAAGATGCTCATCACTCAGCCTGCACTTACGTTCTTGGCTCTCCAATGGAGTGAATGGTTATGCAACGAAAGTATCTATCATATGCCTGCCCAAAAGATCTTGCGAAACCGACGCGGAATAACACTGGGGGATGTTTACGACACTATATGGAAGACTCTGGTACCACGCAATGCTGGCCTTGTACCAAACCATGTCTTGCCTACTGATCCTCGGTATAAATGTCGCGGTAAAGGCTGCAAATGCTATCACAAGACTAGAACTGTAGAGTATGATCATTATCGACGAATGGAAGATTTGGAGTGGAAAAGAGAGAGGTTTGAGGCAAGGGTGATCGAGAAGGAAGACAGCATTTCTGAGGGAAGACCAAGTCAAGACCTTGTCGTCCGGGTCTCAGGGACAGCTAAGTACGTTAGAATGAGGGTCATCATGGAAATGGAGAACGGGGAGTGGAAAGCGAGGGTAGAACGATAGAGGATGTGGTCGGGCGATATTCAAGAAAGCTTCCCAAATAAAACCCCGACTAACCTCACTATGTGTACGATAGTCATGTAAGTAGCTCACCTGGTGCACTCATGAATGAGGCTTCAAGATAACGCCTCTCACCTCCATAGCATTGCCCACCCTGCTGTACAAGCTCGGCGCGAATCACACGGATAATAGCCACGGAAGAGCTAACGGCAAGAGCGATGCTGGAAAGCCCATGCGATAGCGATCAACCTTTCCGGTTGTACTCTGCTTCAGTGTTTTCAAGTTTGCTCACAATCAGTGAAGCAATGCGTGATTATGTATTAATACTATCACTGACGACGATTGGCAGCACTATCTTAGTCATGTCTAGCCCGTCAAGTGCACACCTTCCAAACGAATTGAAGCGGGTGATCTTCAGTCATCCCTCTCTTGGGTGCTTCGATTTGTTACGCGCCTCATGTGTCAATAGAGCGTGGCGCTCCTTCATCTCGGACGCGGACGACATTCGCAAGCGCATGTTTCCCCCGTGTCTAGATCGCTCTCAAGACACGGTAACGCCTCCAGTTGCACCCATGCCAGATGCCGAACTACACATCGATCACAGGCTCCCTCATAAGATGAAATTGGAAGCTGTCATCTTACACGATGACCCATACCAGCTTCCGGATGTGACGGCTACTCCCTGGGATAGTTTAGAAATTCATCCGCTACTCAACATGTTCCGTACTTATCGCAGACCACGCCACAGTAATACAGAGAACCAGCCGGTCGATCTTACCATCAGTTACCAGCTACTGAAGCACTGTAAGAAGCCTCATGTTGACAGATGCTCCGCAACATGGCGCGAGATGTTGGCCACCCAACCTCCAGTCATGCGCTTGACCGTCAATCTGAAGACTGAGGAATGCTCTACCCAGGGCATCCAGACTCTTCACACCAAATTCCCTATTCACAGTGAAGATGGAGTAACGCTTGGGGACGTCGTCGACATCTCATGGTACCCTCAACTCATGCGAAATATCGGTCTTGTGCCCGACGATCGCCAGTGCCGTGGCTACAGGCTTTTACTGTACTACGAGTGGAATGTCTGTCATTGTTATCATAGTACCAACTTTCAGGAGGTATATTATAGGGTGCAGATGGCTGTGGAACAGGGAAAGAATGTGGAAGAAGTGCGTAGTATACGCTCGAAGGGGATATCGGAGAATGAGCATGGTAAAATTTCAGTGTCGAATCTTTCCTGGGGATGGAGAGTAGGAAAATGGCTTGCGACAAATGCATTGATTGCTCTGCTTTGTACAGCTATGTGCTTCCACAATTGTGTTTAGTTGCAGCATTGCGCGAACGATACCCGAGGTCGTCGTGTCTTCCTCTCCTACGCTATACGGAGACAGTTGGAGGAGCATACAAGAACGCTAAGCTTTCACGGTCGTGTCTTACTCCAGAACATCTTAGTGAAAGCAACTTCAGCGCAGCTACCAGTGAAGTAACAGCACCAGCGGACGATGCCATCGCAACACCACGCATAGTCTCATACAGCGCACATATGCCTTCTGTCTTCCATTGCTCGTTCTCTTCCCAGCTTGTCAAACCTAGGGACAAACAACGTACCAACTCAACCTCACACCAACGCCGAGTAGCCTTCGTCCTTCCCTACTGAAATCATTTCATCCAGGCAGTCGGAAATATGTCGCTTCTATCCCATCTCCCAAAGTCCATGGCAGGCTGTTTTCCCAGGATCACACACCGCTTCTGGCTATCTAATCCACTCCTCCGTACTGCACTCAAACGGCCAAACCCCCCTCCCCCAACACCAACCCCACCACCTCCATTCCCATCTCCACCGGGCACACCCATCATCAACCGTCTTCGTCTCCAAAACCACATCCGCGGCAAGATAGCAACGTCCAGCATGCGCCCGGTTCTAGCGGCTGGCGCACTGGCTCTTGCCGCTGGCGGTACGGTGGTTGCACAGACAGATGTGCTTTGTGTATCGAGAGCAAGGGAGGGGCAAGTGTGGTTTGAGAAGAACAAAGATAGTTTTGCGTTGATGGCGGCGGAGAAGAAGGTTGTACTGGAGAAGGGGGAGGATGGGAGGTGGAGGGCGAGGGTGAATCCTGGGGAGGGGAGTGAGGGGAAGTGACTGGTATGGAGTTCAGCGATGAGTGTTAGCAGATAGGTATGTTCGGACATGATAGATCATTTCGACTTTGAAGTGTGCCGGTGAAGCACGCAGCATCTACGTTTTGGTATCGTCTTCCTTCGGAGCACCGGTTGTCTCTTCCGCAGTGGATGTCTCCTGCCCAGCCCTAGCATCCGCCTTCATCCTTATAAACTCCTTCTTCATACTCTCAAACTCCTTGAACCCCTGAAAGTACTTCCTCCTAAAATCATTCAACTCACTAGCCCTAGTCCCCTTCTCATACTCCCTGCGCACCGCCTCAGCCGCCCCCTCAGGCACCTCCTCCTCCCTGCGCCGCCGATACGTCAGCAGCCTGCGTGACCACTTGTTAAACGCCTGGACGCAAACCGACGTCAGTTCGAGACAAGGATGGCTCGGGATGATGAGCTCGATGTCCTCGTCATTCGCCGTGGGCATCCACATGCTGATTCGGCCGTCGGGGACTAGTGTTGCGACTGCAAAGGCTAGTATGTCATCGAGCAGTGCGGTGAAGGAGTAGGGCCGCTTCGGGGGTATGTACCCGGGTTCTTTGAATTGGTCTTGGTGCGATTGGCGTTCTATGTCGAGCAGCGCTTGCCGGGATCCTAGCACTTTGAGGCCTTCGCGGATGCCGTAGGGTGGGTCGCATACGATGCCGTCGAGGTAGCCTGACGTGCGGTCTTTGCTGGGTGGCGGTATTCTCAGTGGGGTGTTGGTGAGATCGGAGACGAAGGCGCCTAGGTAGCTGGACTCTAAGTCGTACTGCTTGAAGTTGCCGACGACGTCGTATTTTCCCGTCTGTCCTCTTCTTGCGCTGCCTCCTAGGCCGCGGATCGTGCGGCCGTCGATGTCACTCCCAAACACCACTGCTCCGAAGTGAGCGCATGCTATCGGGAAGCCGCCCGTGCCCATGAAAGGGTCGTAAAACAACTTCCCCGGTGCCACGTGTGCGATGTTAGCCGTCAGCAGTGTGAGCTCGGCGTCCATCGATGTAGTGCTGATGTAATGTCTCTTCTTGAGATCGAATATCTTCTTGGCTTCGTTCCGACATGAATCGGCGATGAAGCGACCAAAGTAAATGTACTTGGGCTTCTTAACATTAAGATCGTAGTCTTCAAAGACACGGAACGCGACATCTGGGTTTCGCATCCGCGGTGGTCCTTTGAAGGCCATGTAGGAGAAACTGTCGATGATGTCGCGCTGCTCATCGTTTGATCTGCTTCCGCGATAGCCTTCTATGGTAAAGCGGAAAGATGCGTTAATGTACTGCGGCCACCAGGATGTGGTCAGACTGCGGACGGAGTCGTGAAGGGCGTCGTATGTTGATCCCTGGCCCCATAGCTCGTAGATGCCCTGTGCGAGGATGCTCCGTGCGATGGCTTTTCGTGCCGCAGCCTCTGACGGCAGATCGACAATGCAGTAGGGTGACTTTGATCGTCAGAAATGTGTGCTTTTGTAAGGCGTGACGCGACACTGGGTTTGCTTTTTCAGGATCTGAACCAAAACAACACTGCGAGAGACGCGACTGATGAAGTTGAGACAGTAAGACTGCTGGGTGAATGAAAAGCTACTTACATCTTCTTCATACTTGACGAAGTGTAAAGGCACTCCTGAAATGTCGGCTAGCGCTTGCAGTTCGACTTTCCGAAAACTCTCATGCGCTTGCGCAAGCCGGACGAGATACTGAGGCATGTTGTTGTTTGATTAGAGAAATTCCAGGCTAGCAGAACCCTTCCGTGTACTACGTGTCTCAGTCAGGTATCGGCATGGCAGGCGACGATCACCGCGTCGACGCTTTTATCAGTGGTAGTCCCTTTGCGTCGGAGTCACGGACCAGCAAAATGGGGCACGAAAAATGGTGGGTCAGGGTCCTCATTCTTCATTGGCTGCCGACGACGTCGCTTAAAGTTTAAACTACATCTTTCTCCCAACCTCGCCCCGCGTCGCCTCGCATGCATCCCGATTCCGATCTTCATGTCGACTACAAGATGCAGGGTATGACTAGTCTACCACACTGTCTCTACGCTTCCGCTCGATGAATTCCACGTCCGCTTGCGCTTCTGTCATGTTGCACACGAGATTCTCCACTAGCTCTTCTTTTGTCGTAAAGCCTTCGATCCACCAGTCCCGGAACTTCATCAACTCACCAACCCATGCGTCCCAAAGATAATACCGGCCGTCGTTGTCCCGTAGTATGAATTCATCGCCTTTGGTTTCTTTGACCACTGGACAGAGACCCTCAATGTTGTAGTCTTTTGCAACATTCGCCTCCCGCTTCGGGTTGAAACACGCAGACAAGTACAGTTTCTTTGGATCGTTTGTCCATGATAACCGTAGGGTTGTGTCGTATTCGTCGTTGAGTTGGACGTATGGTATGCCTTCTTCGTCTTGTGTCTTTCCCTCGTTTGTTGTGTTGGGAATAAGCCGTAGCTTTTCTAGTATGGTTGCAAACATTTGCATGTCGGTGTCGCAGCGAGGTTATGGTGGCACAGTGAGACCGGAGTCACTGTTAAGGAAGTGCTTTGGTTGCGCAATCTTGAAAGTAGACTTGTGGTATGTAGAGAGACCCGGACCGTGTACAACTTGCGGATTTAATAAGAAGACATGTGTTGAACTGACGTAGACTTGACATCCGCGGTGTAGACATGCCTGTTTACTTTTTTCTTGTACCAAATATCGCGATACTTACGTGGCAGCGCAAAAACGGTGATCACGGCGCTATGTGTGATAACTGCACGATAGTCACGACATGATTGTTTCATCCAATCGCAGCGCTCCCACAATACTATTTCGGACATGTTTACCAAAGTATAACCCACTTGTCAGCGAATGCGATCTCGGGTACGTAGCCGTGTACCGCAACCACACTGTCAGGTGCCGCGGGGCCGGTCGCGTGAAGACCAGATGCATCATCAGGGTCAAGTTCCAGATGGGTGGGCTGAGCCTTCAGGTACCTCACGGTGTATGGTATGAACTACACTGTTTCTTCTCCATATGTCATGGCTTAGTGACCGCAACTTGACATACGGAGCTTGCTATCACCACTTACATATTGAGGAGAGATTGCTGGCCGCTATCATCCTCGTTCATCACGGCTCGAGGGTCTATGTCGTTAGGATGTGAGCCCAATATTGCCACTTCGCTACGGAAGTGCACTTTCGCAGCGGGGTCACTGGGGTGGCATGGCCAAAAGCGAAGACCGCGTACATTGAGTTCAGTCGAGACTTTGGTTCCTGACCCGCTGAAGTAAGACTATACCCCCCCTTTTGGCCTGACACGAGGCTAAATCTCGAGGACTTTGGTACGTGTGGTAGACTATTGCGGGGGTCATTAGTACTTCTTCGAACACTTAATGTTAGAATCGTTTAAAGTCTCTCTATAGAGATGCCACGATTCAGGGCATCGACTTAGGCAGGAAAGGGAACGGTCGCTGTTGGCGCTAACTCTGCTTGGTCTTGGTGAACTGCTACGGCCTGTTTTTCCTTTCCCAAAACGAATCTAGCGTTTCTCCATAACTGCCCTCAACGAAAAGAACCACGTGAATACTATATTCGTCTTGATCGATTTGGTTGATCATAGCCCTATCGAAAAAGACTCGACTCCCTTCTGGGATGTTGCCGCTTCGAAGGAAATGACTGAACTCGTGGTCTTCTCCAGATCCATCTGCCCAGTCCCTGTCATCATCATCAGGGACGACTTCCACCGCTTTGACACCGTCGCCCAAGTCCACCGGGTTCACGTACAGTTCGTCTTCGCACTGCATAATCTCTTCCTTATTGACATTAAGGTATGAGTGGACTTGCGAGACAAAATCATGTAAGGATATGAAAGAGCCATCCTCCTTGTCGATGATCAGCGGCTCTGGGGCAGCGTATCGGTCTTCCTCCTCTTGCTCGTCCATGTTGCGTTTCTCCTCGCAGACGTCGATGTAGACCGAGATTTTGGTGAACGGGGGACTTGCCAAGGACTCTGAGGCGATGCTGGCGCCCATGAAGGGCGTGAGAGCATTTCCAGGATCTTTGACTTGGATGTCGTTCAACGAGCCGAAAACGTCCCAACGGAGTCGTTCCAACAGGTCATCTCGGAGTCGGTCAAGGTAATCCACCACCGGCGGATCAGGCGTATCCTCGCGGTCTACCTCGTTAGGCAGGCTAGGCTTCATTACGAAGAGAAGTGAAAAAGCAGATGGGGCGGAAAATTGCAGTTGGGGGTCAAGAGACTGAATGGTTCTCGGTGGGAGCGTGTGTGGTGGTCCGAGCGCTAACTGTGCTACCGGGTAACTTACCGGCCCGCACCACTTTTTTCTACACCTATGTTGTGTTCTAGGCAGTTACGATTAACTTAGCTGTGTGCCGGTGTGATGGGTGTAGTTCAGGAAGCAAGTCAGTGATGCAACTGTTACTCCAGTCTAGACGGCACTGATAGACGAACGACGAAAGCGTACGCGATTAGTTGCGCCTACCTATCAGCATTGACAAAGACAACATTCGACACGAAAGAAGTCCTCTAAAGGGAGAATTGGATATGGAACTGTATGATAGTTGACAAAATGAAAATACAGACGCCAGAACGCTCATCGCTGATGCAGAGCAATGCAACCGTCTCATGAACATAACCCCCTCACAAATCTGACAGCCATCCCCTCTTCTCTGAGACACCAATCTAAACTTTCCCACATGTCACGCGCGCCTTGTGCGACACGATCCTCACGTCCACAGCCACTTGCGGCAATTCTTCGCGCCACAAAGACAAGGAAGCGCCCCCTCACCCGGCTCATCCATCTCCTCCCCCTCTTCCTTATCAAGGTAGTCAAACGTCAGTTCCTCGCCCTTAGGAATGAATCTTCGTGCAAAGAACGCGATGTCATAAACTCTCGGGTCGTGCTTATTGTAGGAGACAGTGTACTGCCGGCAATTCGGGTCACACGAGTGGTTGATGAACTTCGTTGGTCCGCCCATGAACTCGCCATCCACAACGTAGAGATCTTCTTCTTTGAGGCCTTCTGACTCAGCGAACTTGTCGAGAGAGTAGAGGTAGGACGCTTTTGCTTTTGACGACGAGGTTTCGCGGCGCGTGGCTTCGGCATCTGTTATTACTTCGCCGCGGTAGGTATCGATGAATTGGCCTTCGTGGAGATCTTGTTTGCACCGGAGACCCCAGCCACGCCCGTCGTTCGCTCGGAATATCTCAACTTCAACTTGTCGCCCGAACTGAACGTTCTTATTGCGGCACTTGGGGCCGCATTTGCACCTATCGTTGCACTCGTAGATTGGACGACGGGAGTTAAGATAGAAAGGTACGAGACAGCCGGTTTTCTCTCGTTTGGTGCCCTCGGCGAAGTAAGGGAATTTCTTGGGAAACCCCATTGTCGAATCTCCGTTTTCGAGCGCAAGTTGGTACTCTCGCTTGGTCTCTTCATCAAGGCGGCTTTCGTCCACAGCAGCGTATTCCAGACAGTCACACCTCTTTGTGTATTCGCATCCGATATCACGGCCCATGTGGGGTGAACACTGCTGGCATCCTTGCTGTGTTTCTACTGACGCGCGGTAGACGCCTTGCTGCTCATCCAGAACGTACTCAGAAATGTACCGGAAGCGCAGTGATGGAGTGGCCTTGTCAACCACGTTGAATAAGTGAATAGGTTTGCCTGGTACTTTCGCCAGTCTCCGGACATACTCATTGCGGATATACATAAGTGCTTTGTCGACACTAGACCGATGTGCAATGCGGTTCATCTCTGGCGTGGGCACGGTACGAATGTCAAGTTCGGGTATGTCTGGACCAGAGGCCTGCCGCATGTCAGTGAAGCAGATGAGGGGAACCTGGCTATAAAGACTCACTTGTCTACAAAAGACATGACCATATTGATCAGCATCCAAAACGCCGTTGTATATGTCGCTGGCTGGAGACGTGACTGTTGCTGCAGATGACACGGATGAAGATCGAGAGGCTGATGGCGTACAACTCTCTTGTAGTCGTCGATCGAATGGTGAAGAGCGGCGTTCGTACGATGCACCCCCATCAGGACTCTTTCTTTTCCTTGAAGGTTTTGTGTCTGAAGGTAGCTGTAGGTTCCTAGATAGGTTAGTAGGATGCGGAGAACCAGTACTGAGATACCGCTTACTTCTCCCTCACTTCGAGGTAGTCTTGGATCTGCTCTAGACATCGCACTAAGTCCTTAACAGAGTGCCAGCTGAGCGGCGGTTTTGTCGTCGATGTGTCCGACGTCCACCGGACCAGATACTGCTCGTCCTGGACCCTGATATCAGCATCGCGCACGGACCACTTAAGGTGAAGGGGTACTAACGCCGTTTTGAACGCGATTTGACACAATTGAGTGCACCTAAAGATAGTTTTAGTATTAAAACGCGTGCAACTGAGGTTCGGAATGTACTTACGCGGTCTACTAGGACACGGCGCCTCTCGTGTCCGTTGGCCGGGATTACGACCATGGATGGCATCCCTCTGCAACTGCATCGCGTTAGCCTTCTCTCTCGGCTTGCCCGGCATGTTCAGGATCTTTTGTGATAGAGTCGAGCTGTGTTTAGAACAAGTGCCGCGTTGCTAGATAACTAGGTGGGCTGTGCGGCCTGTGCCGCCGCATAGGTGAGAAACAGGTTACATACCTAGAAGACAGTAGACTAGCCGGCAATCCTAGATTCTAGCAATACTAGTACGTAGAAGAGATTACTAACGTAGATAGTTTTTGTTAGATGTTTTTCCTTTACGCCGTTAGGAAAGTGAAGTTAGGCACCTAGGTAGCTACTAGAGTTAGTGCGTAACTGTAACTAACAGCAAGCAATGCTTAGTAAGCACAAGCACATACAATCTAGCTACTAATGCGCCTTACCTAGTTTGTACTAGTTAATCTTAGAGCTCTTTATCTACCTAGGTAGCTAGCTAGCACTTAAATACCTAGTTAGTAAAAGTATAGATTCACAATCCTTTTCGAATGTTTCAAAAGCCCTGCAAAAGGTTCGTACAGAGAAGGCATTTAGATGCCGCATTTTTTGTCACGCGTGACGCGGCGAAGTCGGTAGAATCCCGGGACAGGTCTCTTAGGCAATATCTCTAGCAACGCGCTCCAGAACGCGAACCCCAAAGTCGATATATAGAACTTCTCCAGGCATAATTCTAGTAACAGGATTGTGCAGGGCAATTACTTGTCGTGCCTGAACTGCGCGTGTTCCCTCGAGTGCTCCGACGTGCGCTAGTTAGCATGTGGCGCGGCCATGGTGCCTTATCGCTATCTTAGCGGCATCCATGAGCCCTCCAAAAAAAGTTCGGCCCGCATGTCAGGCCTCAGAGCAAAGACATCGTTGCGACGTATCACGACACATCACAGCACATCATGGCATCAGACGCGCAAAATAACCCCTTCATAAGGAATCTTGCCTCTAGCGGTACGAAATCACTACGTTGCGGAGACACTCAATCGGAAGTCTAACGTTTGCGACAGACAAGAAAGTTCGCGACAATGCACTCGATTCACTCAAGACATACCTGGGCGCGCAATCAGAGATATCAGAACTAGACTTGTTGAAGCTATGGAAGGGCTTATTCTACTGTACGCGCTCCTTGTGCCTTGGCCTAAAACCCTCCCCCAAGGCACTTCGCAACCCATCCTGCAAAGGCTAACAAGAACCTTCAGGCCTATGGATGCAAGACAAACCCGTCCTCCAGCAAGGCCTATCTCGCGACCTCGCCTCTCTCGTCTCAGCTCTTCGAACACCCGTCGTACTACCCTTCATCCGCGCCTTCTTCCTCACCATGTCCCGCGAATGGACCCGCATCGAAGCGCTCCGGTTAGACAAGTACCTCTACCTCATCCGCCAATACGTAAACGCGTCCTTCACCTTCCTCAGCAATAAGAAATGGAAGAAGAGCTTGGTGGAACAATGGAATGCCGTTATGGAGGAGACCCCGCTGGAGTGCGAGAACATGAGGATTCCAAATGGGCTGAGATACCATGTCATGGATGTTTACGTCGATGAGATGGAGAAGGTTGAGGGAGAGTCGTGGGAGAAGGAAGACAAGAAGGAGACACTGGAGACATTAGTGTTGCCTGTTGAGAAGATGGCCAAGGAGGGCAAGCTGAAGACGCTGAGGAATGCCGCGAAAGAGGTTTTGGCTGATGATAGGTTAAGAGCTTGGAGGGGGCAGGAAGTGGAAATGGCAGAAGAGGCTGAGGACAAAGAAGATTCCGAGGCGGAGTGGGGAGGCTTCGCAGACTAAGCACTATACCATCTGAAGGTCTGAGAGACACATTGCATATGATTTCAGCGAGGCGTTTAGGGAAGAATTTGTCCTGTGCGTAGGGCATGGAAAAGTATTATAATTCGGAAAGCAATCTACAAGACACCGAACTTCAAAAGAGCATTGCAAGGAATGAGATGCCACTTCCATGGATTATCTCAGCTTCTTCCACCGTCTCAGTCTACGCGGGTATTAATAGCACCATCTAGATCAGATCAGCGGTACACTTTCGCCCATTCCGCACACAATACTTACATCCGTCACTCCTCCTCGCACCACCGTCACCCGTCTTCTCCTCCGTGTACCGACCGAGCAAATCCGTCCTCACAAAAAGCACGTACAACCTCCACAAAAGCGGCGGCACCAAACACGCCACACTGACCGCAGCGACCTTCTTACTGAGTGCCGCACCCGGCCCCCCTCCCTCCAACAAATCCAACACGATCATTGGGATCAAAGCCGCCTCTCCTAGCCCCAAGAGCATATATGTAGGTCGTCGGCTCTCGATCCCATTACGCGTATTCGTCGCGCCGGCGAGTAAAGCGGATGTTAGACCGCCCACAATCAGGCCTCCGCATAGACGAGCAAAGAGGACCGAGGTAGGGTTGATGTCGCGGGAGGGGTTGTTGAGTAGGAGGGAGAGCGTCCAGCGCGTGTTTGTTATCAGCGGGATGGTGAAGAGGTTGGCGAAGGCTTCGAGGAGAAAGGCTTTACGGATCGTGGAGCCGTTCTGAGATGGGTCGGGTGTGATGGTTGGGTTTGCGGCTGGGGATTTTGTTGTCGGCATTTTGATGGTTCAAAAAGATGTTTGCATAGGGCGGATGGTAGGTCTTAGGCGTAGATATGGATTAGAAATTTGTTTACATGTATCCGGATATGGCGATGTCGTAGTCCATATTCCAGTCTACTTGACTTGGCGTGACTAGTGCGGACGTCATGATTTCGTTACCCCAAAAGAAAGACCAAGGGGGAAATCGCTATTCTGATCATGCGGTCATGACAAAAGCCTAGCTGATCTTGGATCAGATGGAAGCATCGACCTCTCCTGACTCGCTCCGTATGTATACGCATGCAGGGCGCGTTGCATCCTGGTTAGTCGCGTGTCTAGTCAGGAACGCGTCCATGATCTTTCGAGTCCGAAACGTGGCATACAGTGATGCATCATGTGTGTCTATGCACCTGAGCTCTATTCATCTCGTTGGCCTAGTGAGTTTGCGGCTTGTGACGTGTGGTCTCCTGCAGAAGATGCGCGAGCTGGACGCTGTCAGCACTCAACCATCGACGCATCGTTCAGATGCGTGAAAATGATTGCCAATGATCAATTTCAGGCATCTAGTCATAGCGCTGGCGCAGTAGTGATATTTATGAAGCTCAAATGAAAGATGGGTTATGATGTCAGACGAGGGCTAACGGACCGACCAACCATAGCAGACCTCAGCTTTCTTGGACCGCCGGCTACTGACCGCCAAATACTTCCGGCAGTAATCTTTCGTCACCCACCACACAATTGAACGCAACTTTTGGGCCCATCATGGGTCGTCGACCCAACCAGTTGATTCTCGAGTACTTCGAGCGCGGACCGAAGCTGGAAGATGCAAGCAACCGCTACCAGCACACGTGCAAGTCGTGCGGCGAAAAGGTGAGTGACCCCGCTCCGCAAAAAAGTTGACGGTGTAGAGTGAGCAATAATAGCTTACACATCGCAGTTTCCCAAAGGCCGCATAGACAGTCTCACGAATCATCTCGTCAAGAAATGTCCCGCTTTACCGCTTCAAGACCGCCAGCGCGCGCTGCTGCAGATGCACGAGCTGCCACTCCCCGACAATATGACGCAGACGGCCACCACCAACGCACCCGGACCGAGCCAGATGCAGCATGGCCAGAAGATGAACCTTCCTTTTGCGCCGTCGAAGCAGCTGTCTGCGCTTGAGACGCTGGCGGAGGTGTCGCGACAACATCTGGACCTCTCTGGGAAGCGCATGGCAGAGAAGCAGCCGTCGCAAGCGCACAACCATGGCAACCACAACCATAACAACAATGCGAGCCATGCAGGGCTTTTGGAAGAGTTCCTGATACAGGATGATCGGCCCGATGGCTCTGATATGGGCGGCCTCTCACACGGGATGGACATGTCGCATGCGCCAGCAATGCCCTCCATGTACCAGTTCAATGGATCATTACATCACTCTCCAACTGCATCACCACACATGGGTCATATGCCTCTGTCAAGCTCTGGATCGATGTCGCACATGGTTCCGTCTCTCGTCATGGCAGCATCAGCAGCGAATGACCTCATGCCGCTGTCAAACGGTATGCCTATGGAGTCGGACATGAATCTCTCAGCACATGGTATGCAGGGTATGTCAGACGGCAAGTTCTTCCATCCCCAAGGACGAGGACATTGGCCGAACATACAGCCCAACTCACTGGACCCGATGCTACAAGACCATGGCAAGGAGCAGATGCACGCGAACGACCAGTTAAATAAGGGAATGAGCCATCAACGACCACTTGCAATGAGCCCAGGCAACCAGACCCACTT